AGTCATATGTAGGCGTTATAGAGATCAGTGTTTGGGTGACTTTAACCTACAATTGCCAGTATTTAAAGAATATTCTGTTATTGTATTTTCGCTTTAAATCATTAGTCAAACCATATGTCTCTCTAAAGCTATTAATTTAGAAATTTGTGCTGTAAATTGAAATTTATATTTATTTATTTTAGTCCAAATCATTATCAATCGATAAATGTTTATCTATCAAGAGATAATTAATGGATTTATATGTTCAAAAAATAAAAGTAATATGTTTTGGATGTGTATTTAAATGGAAAGGAATTTTTGTTTTATTATAAAAAAATAAACTCGACTTTGAAAACTATTTTACTCTGAAATTGAGTTCAGTTTTGATTTCACTTTAATGTTATTTTATACTTAAGATGTGCTATAAAAACATTTCGAAAGTATTTAATGTCAACGAAATATAGAAATAGTTTATTCAAAACATTGAATTCAAAGACAATAAAACGATTGTTTGTTGAGTTAGACTTCAATTCACGCATTCATATAATGAGACTTTTATGTGATTTAAATGTTTCTATAATTGTTATTCTCTTTGCAGGCGTTTATGAGTTTGAAAATGTGTTTATATTTAGATGGCATTGAAATTCTCAATGTCTTTGTGTAACATATATTCACTGAAAATATAGTAATCCATTCATAAGAGTGAAAGAAAGATCAGAATTTGGTCCAAACCTGTCATAAAAATGAGTGAAAACTTCTCAACTTTTAAAAGAGTCTCGTTTTTGGATATTATTTACGAGCAAAACATTTGAAAAAATATTTTTAAAATATAGTCAAATTATAGAAACTAGTAACTGATTGCTGTACTCAACATTTGGTGGAAATGTAAAAATAATTTTTTACACTATAATAAACGAAAAAGATATTTAAAATAAATTTATTTAGTGAAAATAACTTATATACAATGATTTTTAAAACTAAATGAATTAAACAATAAAACAGTATCTACATTAATGTTAAATATGTAATTTTAAAGTAATTAATTATCTTTCAATTAAAATATTGACTTTAATTTTAAAATGCTGTTACTCTAAAGATTTTAAAACTAAATGAATTAAACAATAAAACAGTATCTACATTAATGTTAAATATGTAATTTTAAAGTAATTAATTATCTTTCAATTAAAATATTGACTTTAATTTTAAAATGCTGTTACTCTAAAGCTGTATAACCGGTATAATTCAAAATACAAGATTTAAAATACAAATTAATTATCAATTGAGTCATTGCATCAAATTATGAAACACTCGCACCAATCATCACATATAAGAGTTGTCATCACAATTAGAAATAATAAATTAATTTCTCTTAAGAATATCCATTAATTATGCATTGGTTTGAAGTCAAAACTGTTTTTCACATTAATCTCTGGTTTTATGGCACGTATTGTTCAAAAAGAAATATCAATAAAGTTATGTCAACTCATCTTAAGCTGACGACCGCGTCATGAACTGTGGGATAAAAACAGCTTTTGTTGACACTATCGAAGAACTTTGACCTCTCGAACAGTTCGATCACATGTATGGGACAGGAGGCCAGACATACGGAGATATTCTTGTCTTTCAACAGTTTGAAGACGTCGACGATTGTGTCGACACCCGATCTGTCCATAAATGGTACGCAAGACATGTCTAATATTAGCGCTTCCGGTGTTATTTGAGGCGACTTTTCAATCGTGTGATTAATACTAAGAAATTATATATAAAAGAATATTCTATAAAACTTTTGTGTACCTGGATATCTACTATATATGTTATATAGTATTCTTGAGAGATACCTTTGATGTAATGTTTTAGTTAAATCCAAAACTCTAGTCTTGAAATCATCGGTACTTAAGTAGAAAATTGGTGAACAAAAGCGAAATATTTTGATGCCATAGACTTCTTTGGCTTTCGTATACTTCTTGATGTCTACGTATATCTCAGTGGAGGGCAGACAACCCAACAGGGAATACGTTGGCCTGAGATTCGCATACATTATATAACATTAGAAATGAATAATGATTTGTATTGTGCTTTCATATAACTAATGACTCACTTAACAAGTCTGACAAGAATGACAAGAATTGAAATACCGATCCCAACAATGAGTCCCAAATCGACGTCGAGGAATATGACGGACAGGAATGTGACCATCCATGCGGTCTATCGTATGAATCATATATTATTATAACAAATAATCAATTGTATTTAAATAATGTTTGTATGACTGACGGCATCGAGTTTCGAGACAAACCAAATCCTATGAAAGTCTCCGATTTGTAAGAACATAGACTTCAGGGCTATTAATATAATGCACGCCAGAGTACACTGAAACATAAATTCATTAATTAAGTTACCAATTATATTATATTTTGTGCTTTTTTTAAATAGAAATTATTTAAGAATTTGAATATAAATATGTAATACTTTTGGCAAATGATATAGAAATGGCGCCAATAGTAAGAGTACGCATAGTATGACGAGACACGAGACTATTCCTGCGATTTGTGTTTTGCCACCGATTTTGTCCTGAATTGTGGACCGCGAGAGAGCGGCCGACGCCGGATAGGCCAAGAAGAAGGACGACACGAGATTAGCCGAACCCAGAGCTATGAGCTCCTGATTGGCGTCGACATCGTATTTGTGATTCTTGGCCGATATTTTGGCCAAAGACAGCGATACGGCAAATGTGACGATCCCTATGATCACACAATCCACTAACACATCGCCCACAAAGTCCAGGCGCGGGATTGTAGGGTCCGGTAGTCTGTAATCCATTAGTAATTAAATGTTTAGCAATTAATTTCGTAAATTTAATGAAAAGAAAGAAATGTTTAGAAAATATTTGTAGTGTTTTTAAAATACACTGTAATTAAAGTAGGAAATTATTGAGAAAAAATGGTCAAATAATTATTTTAAAATGATTATTCGTATATTAAGCATCATTTGATCATTTATTATGATTATTATAATGATATGTAATGTAATTGCAGTCATAAATCGATTAATATTTATGAGAAGCCCTTCCTTTCATTTGCCGATAAATATAATTTACAGATATTTTTATGACTTAATAATATCTGAAAAAGAGTTAAAATAATATAATAAATGATTTTTTCATTAAATTATTATATTATGAAGTGATTAAGTTATGATCGAAGGAATGATCGCAAAATATAGTATTAATTATTTTTGTCATTAAATGCTGAAAGAGTTATTATTGTGATAGAGAAGCAACTATTGAATGCATACCCCGTGGGCACAGATCCGATCACAACCACTTGAAATCTATGATTTATATCCATAAGCCATGCGCTCAGTGTTGAGAATATGACAACTAATAAGTCTATAGGAATCGGAAACGAGATTCGCTTCTTAATCCTGGGTTCGGCCCACTCTTTGAATGTCACGAGAATTGTGATCATTATTAACGAGAATATAAGAGTCGATACATTCGCTCGTTGGATGTGTTTCGCGATTTCGATCCAAGTCTTGCAAAAAGATATGCATAAAAATAGTTCATTAGATACGATGAGTATTCATATAAAACAAGTCATTTGATGTTTTTATCTAAAAGTATACTTTCTTAAGAAATGTTATAAATTCAAAATATCAATACATAGTTTAATACAAAGTTTGTACATGTGTTTTAGCAGTTTTACTAACAAAAAAAATCCGTAATTTAATATTAAAAACACTTTAGGACTCAAGGATTTAAAGAAGAAAAGCATTGAATTCTTATAAATCTTAAGCATCTAATGATTAATGATTTTGCCGTCAAATACATAATGGCATTGATGTTGATTAGTATTAAGTATTAAGATTTCGATTCTTATATTAATAAAAACTTTTATCAAATATTTCTTAATATTGATAAAAATTAATTTTAATTAAAATATTTAGTAATTCGATAAATTATTTACAAAACAAACATAAAAATAACTTTATTTTTTACGCGCCTATAAAAACTTAATTTCATAAAATAATAAATCAATTTCTAAAGATTTAGCATAATATAGCATACAGTACTGTACTGTAGTTTATATTACTATACGATATAATGTATAATTAGCAGAAAATTGTTATCAAATTAAACACAAATGTGGTAAAAGTGCTCAAAACAATACAAGACATACATAAATGAGTTTCAATGGACCGCTGGGTTGAGTGGGCAGTGAGAGGCCGAGTATTGAGTTGAGCTGAGAGGTGGCGACGTGGAAGGCCACGGCTGTCGAGAACCCGGACACTAAATGCTCGGACAGTATGAGTGACAGTGAGCCCAAGCACAGGGATCCCATCGCTATTTGTATAAATCCGGTGACAATGCAAACAGTGGTGAGCGCCTCCAACTGAGTGGGCGGCCAATCGGTGTGTATCGTCTCGTTTGTGGTCTCATTGATTAGCGGAATACGTGAGGGAACGGCACCTAATTTGGAGGCCGTGTTGTACAGCATAAGACTGGCCACAGCGAAAGAACCAATGGATATGTGTCGGGAAGTGCCCATAAATGTGTAGATGAGGGTCGGGAAGAAAGATATGTAGAGACCGTTAACGGCCTCTAAGCCGGCGAGCAGTGAATACGCGATTCCCTGAGGGATATGGAGTATAGATATCGTGATTCCGGCGATAAAATCGGGCAATAAATCCGTTTTGACGTTATATTTCGGTAACCATCGGGTGATTGGAAATAATGACATCAAACATGTGGTCAATGAAAACCGTTGCCACCATTTGCTAAACTCGAGTGATAACTCTTTATGGAATGGGATGTGTTTTTGTGGTAATCTTTGGTATTTGGTGTCAAATTCATCGCAATCAATGGCATCGCGTTTTAGATTAATTAGTCTATTGTTGTTGAACTGATTGAGTGATTGTGTCTTTGGTGAGGCATTGGATGAGACAGTATTTGTCTCGTCTTCAATATCTAGGGCTGTGTTTGTGATACCATTTGAGCCATACTTTGGATCCATTATAAGATGCAGTTATTGAGTGGTTATTGAGATCAAGGAATTGCCGACAAATGAAGAAGTTTTTGCTTCTTCTTATTATAAATTGTTTACACTTTGAATCAATTCGTTTGGAAATAACTGCAAAACATAAGAAAAAGTGAATAAAACTTCAAAGAAGAAGTCAAAAGACTTGGAAACAAAGTTTTCAATTCATTTAGCAAACGCACCGAAAGTATTTAAAGTTAGTGTCAAGTTTTATGCCTTCAGTTATAAATTATAATACATTTCTATAAATTATAGTTTTTATTACAGAAGTGAATCCATCAATCATTGAGACTAGAGGTGACCAAAAGGGGCTCAACTGATAACTGAGTTATTTAATAATAATAATAATATAAAGTCTCGAAATATTAATGATAAGATTGTTGTGAGCAAAAAACGCTGCAAACATTGCACTCTCTAAACGGATACATTAATTTGCTGTGAATTTGAATTGTAATAAATTATTTGAATCTTAAAGTCAATGTTGTAGTTGTTGTATTAATATGATACTTCTTGGAAAAACATTTTAATTCATTCTCATAACAAATGTCGAGAACTTTTGTTTTTATAAAAACACACCTTAACTTTTGTTTAGCAATTATATAAGGGTTTAAAATAAAACATTTATAAATACTATGAGGTGAACTAACAGATTACCGGTAATATAAAACAATAAATTAAGGATATGTCGGGTAAGATATGTCTAGAATTTTGGTTAAATATTCAAGTGTTTAAAATTTAATTGTTTTCATTAAATGGCTAATTTTGAAAATGTTTCATGAATAAATTTTCTTAAGCTTAAAACCATTTGACACTGATTTAGAATATAAAGTAAAATAGTTTTAGTTTTAAAAGAATTTCTTAATAATATTATACAATATTAATTTGGAGTCAAATCCAATGCCTCCAGTCATGCCATGTGTAGAGATTTTATTCAAATATCAAAATCAATCATAATTTCATTTATAATTTCACTTAATATTAGAGACTTTATTTTACTAATATCAGATTCTAGCTGTGTTTGCGGTTAACTCGCAAATATTTATAAATTTATTTAATTAAATAAAAATTTGGTAATCAAATGGTATTAAAATTGGTACTAATGTTAATACAAATGTGAGTTAATTAAATACTTGTTCTCAATAATATTAGGACAAATATATTTAAAAATTTGTTTAATTTGCTTTTGTTATTTTAAATTAATTAATAAAAATAAAGTTAAATTATTTTCCGATATTTAACAAACTTTTTAAAAATCAAGACACATCTTAGGATTACTAGAATTATTTGATAATAACAGTACTTATACACCAATAAATACTCTGTGTAGCAGCATGATAACAGGGATAAAAATAAAATATTTATAAATAATTTTATCATACAATATGCAATATATTCCGTAGTATGAACTAAGATATACTAAAAATAAATTATGTTAAATAACGACTTATTAATATATTTAATACAAATCGAAATAATATTCTCGGAAATATGAGATTTAAAATACTTTAAGATGTTTAGCGTCAAAATGTTGAACACGTATTAATAAAAATGAATTTTATGTTCACATAAATTAGATGAACTACTGAACTAATTATTTATAACACAGTATACAGTACTGTGTATTTAAATGAGATTCTGGTTACTAAAGTGCTGTAAGTGCTGTCACATCCTTTTATATAATCTGACAAAACTTTTAATTATAATTTGCATTTCAGTCAATAAATAGCTTTTATCTTAATATAAATCTCTTTCATGAAAGGAAATATGAATATAAAATTGCTTTTGATATTTCTCTAATTTTTATGTGAATTAAAATAAATTACAGAAAAAATTGTAAAAATAGTATTATAAATTTATTAAATAAAAATATAATATTTTCTTATGAAATGAAATATTGATTTAATTTATGATAATTGAGTTAAATATTAAGCATATATATAATTTGGCATAAATTGAAAAAATGATTGTCTAGTACAGTATCATAATTTAATATATTAATGAATTGAATGACTAATATTGAGATTAAGGGGACTATTATTATAGTGGAGAAGGAGTTAAAGGGAAGGAATCGCATCAATAGATTCGTAAACATTTCAAACACACAATCATTAGTAGAGCTGTTAATCAATGCAAACATCGTATAAATAATGGACGAGTTATTTAAATAAATAACAAATTTAAATAAATTTAACGGACAATAAATTATGGTAAATCACGTTCACATATATTAGCGCAGGTATGAGTGTTTGAGTACCGGTATTAAGTAAGTTACTCCTACGTAATAAAACTAATTTACAGGTATTGCACTGTATGTATGTTTTATGCAAATAACACAACATTGAAAATTCAAACATAAAGTGCAAACTAAAAAAGATAAATTTATAAATTATAATATACGGTACCTTTATTACATTTACTATAGTATCAAATCTGTAATCAAAATAATTAAACTAAAAATTTATATTTTCCTCTAATTAACTTTTTGTGACAAAAATAACAACAAAATTGTATACGTATAGAGAGACGACTAACTAATTGACAATTATATTGATTGATACATTATTTATCTGTATAGTAACTAATTGTCAAAATTGAAATTCCGTTCCCAAAGTCTAATCAATGCCTTAATACTGTACTATAATAATAGCATTTTTGTGTTGGGAAGGCATTAATCAATTTAAACAAATTCCTTTTGTACACTAACTGTTCATATGAGATAGGATTGGACTCAATATATTTCTGTTTCGCCATTCATTTAACTTTAATATCCGAGTAATAAATTATTTAAATACAGGTATTAATATATATGACAGCAATTAGATGTTTACAGACTGTGTGCCAGAAACGAGTTCACATCAACTTATAATAACTTACAAGTCTTTTTGTATTCATATGTTTTGTTAATCATAATAAAAGTCTACTTAAGAACTAACTACTCAGCATATTTTAATTCAATATTTATAAATACGGTATTTTATTTATGTTTATAATAATTAATAGTTATGATGAGAGCAATTATAAATACCGATAGGGAGAGAGAGAGAGAGAGAGAGAGAGAGAGAGAGAGAGAGTTCAATTATACTTATGAAGTATAAATATTTTTATATTATCTCAAATTTTATATAAATCAAAACTTTAATTGGGATCTACACTATAGTAAATTTAATATAAATTTGTCATTAAATGCAATCTTTTATAATAAATTTAAGCCATTTTTCAGAGAATCAAAATTTAATGCAATAAAAATATTTGATAAATTTGTGTAATTATTATTAGTCAACTGTTTAACAGATTTAGGTACACATGAAAATATTTAATATCCGAGGGCTTTTAAGCATTTAATGTCTAAAATTATAGTCTAATTATGTTTTTCAGATATAAATTGTATTATTATGGCAATGAAAAGAATATATGAATTTAATGCTTAATTAGAAGATAAATGAAGTTTTGATTTTAGATATTATCTTAGTTTATCAAAATTAAATGCAATAAACATTTATATTGTATTAAGTTAATAGGTGTTGTATAACACTAATATCTACTGAGTTTCATAATCGTTGTTATAAAACTACACATCATTATATAACTTGAATTACATTAATATTATTAGATATAAAGCTAATGAATAGAAAATGTTCACAAATGCCATAAATAGTAGTATTAGTGGCAATAAAAGTGATGCCAAACTTATTTTATGTCGATTCTGTTGACAACACTAAATATGTGTTCAATGAGTTCAAGGATAATGTCTTCATATCGTATTGAAAGTAAGGTTTGGGATGAAATGGATAGCCATCTAAACTGCGATCAAATCAATAGATAAATAACAAAAAAGAGGCACATTTTCAGTGAAAGGAATTCACAGATAAAATGAATTTCAATAAAACGACAAACACTTAAACGAATACTCAAAAGATATTCAAAAAAGATTATCATTTCCAATGGGAAAGTTGTCATAAATTATTTAAATTATATAATTATAAAATATACCGGTATTAAACTAGAAAGAAAATTTCAAAATTTGTTAGATTATGTTAAATAAGTTATATATATTATTTATAAGTTTATACTACAATTATTGCAGTAAAAGAAATAGTTTATAAAACATACTACAGATCTTTAATAAGTCTTAAATTGAATAATACAACAAACTTACAAACACTTGTGGGGTATCAATACTAATAACTTTTATCGGTTGGTTTGGATGAAATAAACAACAATAGTTAAGAATTTTCGTTTATGAAGAATTGATGAGATATTGATCCAGGACAAAGTTATGTTTACACTTTCACTGTCTTATGATTGGACTCGAAGAGAGTTTAGCAAACAATTATGAAAATGTATTGAAAAGGGAGGACAATGTGATAGAAGTTGTGACGATGTGTTGCTTTTAATACATTATATCTATAATAAGATGGTATGAGATAACGAAATGTCAATCAAAATGAATGCACACATAAGTACTACTTTGACTCAGGTTGTAAAATGTAATTAACTATCAGTTGTATGTTTTAAAATACTAATGATATTCGTTAAGCAAATATAACACAATTGTATAACAATTAAAACATCATTAAATGTGAATCAGTTTAACAGACTGTAAGTTTATAAAACATACTACAGATCTTTAATAAGTCTTAAATTGAATAATACAACAAACTTACAAACACTTGTGGGGTATCAATACTAATAACTTTTATCGGTTGGTTTGGATGAAATAAACAACAATTGTTAAGAATTTTAGTTTATGAAGAATTGATGAGATATTGATCCAGGGCAAAGTTGTGTTTACACTTTCACTGTCTTATGGTTGGACTCGAAGAGAGTTTAGCAAACAATTGTGAAAATGTATTGAAAAAGGAGGACAATGTGATAGAAGTTGTAACGATGTGTTGCTTTTAATACATTATATCTATAATAAGATGGTATGAGATAACGAAATGTCAATCAAAATGAATGCACACATAATAAGTACTACTTTGACAACAGGTTGTAAAATGTAATTAACTATCAGTTGTATGTTTTAAAATACTAATGATATTCGTTAAGCAAATATAACACAATTGTATAACAATTAAAACATCATTAAATGTGAATCAGTTTAACAGACTGTTAGGTTCACAGCCAATCACTACTCCTTAACATCAATTGATGGCTAATTCAGTGTTGGCTCAGAGGAAGACAAACACACAAAACAAACTGTTTATTGAAGTGTCAGACAAAATAAAAAAGAAACCAACATTTTTAAAAGTATTGCTGAATATATTAAACAACAAGAAAAATTCAAAAAATTTATGTTTATCGTAGATAGTTATGATATAATAATTATGAACGCATGCAATAAATTGTGTGCATTTTATTGAACTTCAAAGGAGTGCTCGAGTATTGTGTAAAAGAAAACATTGAATGCCTTGTATTCGTGTATAACTTATAATCCTTATGTAAAACACAGTATAACTAATGAGAGAAAATGAATAAAACGTTTAGTCACTTAAAACTGTAAAGTTTTAGCCACTAATTCCTGGCTCCTATACTGTAAGAAAGGCTTCTCTCAGACTCATCTGCCCTTAAGCTGTATTTTACAACATTTTTTTGCTGTGTTTTATATTTGTATACGAGTTTGGCATAAAAATTACTACTTTTATAACAGGCAATGGATTTGCTTAGCATTTGGTCGGCAAAAGAGTCGGTGTTTTCTTAGGAATACAGACAAAAATGTAACGAAAAATTATTTTTATAAAATTATGGCTAAATATTACTCATTCCTTACATTTGAAAAGAAGTTTATTTTATTTTTCTTAACAAAATACTGCAATAAATATTCTTCACATTTAATAACTTAACACAAAATTATAGCCGTTTATAAAAAAATCATAAATTCTCGCGAAATAGTGTTCAGTAGTCTTAAGATAACAATTTATTGAGTGTTCACTTAATATTGAATTATTGTTAAAAATGTCATATAAGAAAGTTTTAGTCAAATTTAAAAGATTATAATAATATTTTTGAAAAGACTTACATAATATTACAATATTTTAGATGTGATTTTGAATAAGTTTATTGAAAGTAAAAACACAAATAAATATAAGATTCATTCACTAACTATTATATAAGATGTGAGACAAAGCAAATTAAATGCACAATAAATGAAAATAACATAACTTGTATTTCAAACTTTGGTTTATAATTTCAAGTGTCGGGTATTATAAAAGATGATACAAAGTCACAAATATTATACAACTTTATTGGGAAAACCACTAAATATATAAGTAGTTTGAGATTTAGGTTATTTGGACGACACAAACAGATATGAAACGTTTGATTTGGTTTCACAAAAAAAAACTTTTTATTTTACTTTTTATTGCATTCAAACACATGAATCGAGCGCTTTCTAGGAGTCATGTAATGCAAGACTTGACGAAAAAGAGTTTGGATTCCGAGTGAAGAAGTTTGAGAAGTTTTGGAGTGAACTTGAAATTGATTTTTATATAACATTACGTTTGGGGGACAGACAGCCGATGAGAAGCGAAACCTGTTTTCCATTACCTAAATATTGTATTAATAGAAACACAGCATTACTTAGCAAAGAGTAATCTGTACAGTGCATATGATAGCATATGATACAGGTACAATGCTTTCCAATTTTTTTCAATTAAAAAAAGTTCATTTTCTCATATATTTACAGCGTTTTCTGAATTAGTGATTGAATTGCATTTAAAGCGATTGATATCCTATTACAAGACCTAAAAAATTATGGTTCTGTGAAATCATAGTCCAGATTAGAAGTAAATGAGTTAAAAGTTTCACTTAAAAACTTTTTGAACGAAAGAAAAAATGCACGAAAAATAAATTTCAAACAATAAATAACTTCTTTAAATAAAGAGTTAATGATTTGTAGATTTGTGGACTGCATTGTAAATGATTTAAAAATATTATTTTAATGATCATTAGTGAATGCATTAATAGTGCACTTCGTAATAGTGTTATCGGTATATTGAGATTACTTTAGTCAACAGTTTTAGTTTTCATGTTTTGTGGGTCTCTTATGAAAAGTGCAGAATTGATCTCAAATTGGATTCATATCTAATGAATTGCAAAAATATCATTAGAAATGAATCCTCGATTATAGCTTTTGAATAAACGATTTATTAAGTGGTTTTTACGGCACTATGTTATATGTTATCGACATTTAAAGATTTTTATTAATAATTGTATTGAAAGAGAGGTTTTCTCACTAATTATATATAATTTGCTAATTTCTTCCTTAATATTAATCAAACAAATGTTCAGAAAAGACTATTTTTCATCACTATTCTGACAGTTTGTTCATTAAAATCAGTAATTTTCACAAATACTATAATTATATTTTATATATTTAACACTTGACTCAGTTATGTATTGAAAGATAATTCATAAATAGTTTGAGATCTATGTGGACTTTATTTCTAAGTTATAATATATTCTTGATTTAATTACAAGAATATAAAAGTGTTAAAACTAAAAACAAAATAAATATAAATTTTCTAAGAGTACAGTATTGGTGGGAATTAACGTACTGTAGATTTGTGAGCGAAATACTCTTTTCTAATCATTAAAATGAGAGAAAATACAAAAAAGAAATGCAAAGAAACTGCTCGAAGCCGTGGACGATATGTATATAAATTATAAAACACAGTAAATGCAAGCATTTATTGATAATCTTTGAATTTTCTCATCAAAACAAAATTATCTTCAACTCTAAAAACTCTCAATTAAACAAAACATAAATATACGGTATTTGATGAATATTTTTAAGTGCTTTGGAAAAATAATTATACAATTAGTGGTAATTCATGTTTTAGTGATAGTATCTTTTTTATATGTTTTATGCTAATCGACGCAAACATTTCATTTTAATCTTAATCTAATTTCAACGAATTTATTCATAAGAAGCTTATTTCAAATCAAATAAACAGAATTACATATTATTTTAAAACTATTATAATAAAAATCTTTAAATGTCGATAACATATAACATAGTGCCGTAAAAACCACTTAATAAATCGTTTATTCAAAAGCTATAATCGAGGATTCATTTCTAATGATATTTTTGCAATTCATTAGATATGATATGCTAATCGACGCAAACATTTCATTTTAATCTTAATCTAATTTCAACGAATTTATTCATAAGAAGCTTATTTCAAATCAAATAAACAGAATTACATATTATTTTAAAACTATTATAATAAAAATCCAATATTTCATATGTTAAATTAAATCTAATTCAGTCAAAATATTTAAACAGTTTTCTCAAAGTCTAAATCTTGTAATAAATTACTGTGGTATTTTTAGAAACAATTTTTCCATTCAATTATATATTATTAGTAAAAGTTTGATACACATGTATTTTGCATATAATTTAAATATTGATAATAATTTAAGTGGAATTCAAATATGAGTTATTCACACACATATAAAAATAAGAGTCAACGTTATTGTGGACTAATTTTTGGGGTAATAAATTAATTAGTTTTAAAATCAAAAATTTCTCATTCGCCTTATAATGAATTATTTTTTTAATTAAGAATTTAATTGCTTTAACACTGATATGATAAAAGGGTTGAGAATTCATGAAAAAATAGTTTGTCGTATAAACAAAAATCAATTTGTCTGAGCATTAGTAGGATTTCATCCATTTTTAAGAATAGGTTTTGAGGTTTTGAGTGAAAATAGCACTTCATATCAATTGAGGCATAAATTTTTTATCATTACTAATTAATAATTAGCACTTATATTTTACAATCATTTATTAATTATACAAATATAGAGTTAATTATAATATGGAATAGTTATTTGAAAAATATTTTAATGATTACTTAAAAATACTTTCGTTTAAAATCAATAATTTTAGATATACTGTATATTAATATACATTAGATTTGTATTTTTATTTAAAATTATTATTTAAATTGAAAAGTATTCTGTATTTTGTGAAGCAATGTTAAGTACTGTAATAAGAGAATACATTAACCAGTTTTTGATATAACATTAACTCTTTTGGTTCACAAATAATGAGTTTAATGTTAATAACGTTTTTTAATGGTTTACACAAAATGTTTGACTTTAAAGAAGAGGAAGAGGTCACCAGATATTCGAGGAATCTATTTATATACTGTACTTTCAAAACATTCAAAACATTTTAGTTTTTTAATTGATATTATTTAATAAATTATTATTATACCGGACTCAAAGTCAATTCAATCCATGGATAAGCATTCCGGTGATAAGCATATACTTATTCTAAACTTAATCCATATCCAGGCACTACACAAACATACTAAGACATTCAATGCACCGGGTGTTGTGATAGTGTGAGGATTATATTAAGTTTATGTTGGAAAACATGTTTATTGAAAAGCATGCGATTTTGGTTAAAATAATATTTTTTCCAAACTTTTAATTACATTTGATTTTCTTTTCATTTAAGTGAACAGTATTTTTATGTCGATTTAAACTCCATGAATTTGCAATGAATTTATTTTACTATTTGATTAGCTTACTCATAATTTGTGTGCAATACTTGTGGGCATATCCGCGGCCACACAACTGCACGTCTACTGTCACCTCCCATGGGATCAGTTTTCATGGCTGCGAAGACATCATCTCAACTGAAAGTATCACAAATAAAATACATCATAAGCGACTCATCTATACATTCAAAGTAAGTAATGTTTTATAAAATGTTTGTCTATTAATAACTTTTGAATTGTATGATAATTAGGGCATTCCTTATGCTAAACCACCTGTCGGTGCCTTAAGATTCCGAAAGCCGGTGCCCATAAAGCACCGGAAGGGCACTCAAGTGAACGCAAAGAACTATAAGAAGCCGTGTATGCAGTCCTGGATAGCTGACCACCCATTCGGCGTTATGTCCGAAGACTGCCTTCACCTCAATGTGTGGACGCCTACACTCAACGGTACGGCTAACCTGCCGGTTATGATCTGGATATATGGCGGTTCCTTCTATATCGGCTCCAGTAGTCAATTCGCGGCACTATATCTTACCAGCGATAACATCTATGAGGGCACACAACTGGCGCTCAGGGATGTGGTGATCGTTACTATTAATTATCGTTTGGGTATATTTGGGTTTCTGTACGGAAACACACCGGACTGTCCAGGAAATCAAGGCCTATGGGATCAGGCGATGGCAATCCAGTGGGTAAAGGATAATATTAAAGCGTTTGGCGGTAATCCCAATGATATAACACTATTTGGTGAGAGCGCCGGGAGTATATCCATCAGCAATCATATCGTGTCGAATGTAACTCGAAATATGTTTCAAAAGGCAATCATGCAGTCGGGTATGGCTGAGACTAATGGTTATTAGAATACGGTTTGTTAAATAGGCTTTCCATTGATCGATAGGTTCGGCATATATCAAGCTATTCTCGAGAGACACCGACTACTCGTATAAAATCGCCCGAAAATTCGCGTCCAATAAGAAACTGTTCCGAAGGAGTGGTCCATGTGTTGGAGACAACGATTGGATTGAATGCCTGCGAACCAAAAGAGCGCACGAATTACTGAACGCACAGTTGCTGTCTATCCTCCACAACCCACTGAAGCCGTGGTACACCGTTTGGATCCAACAGTTTTGCCCCGTTTTCGGCGATGAGTTCGTCCCCATTTCGGTCAACAAAGCCGTCAAAGAGGGGAACTTCAGGAAAGACGAGGGATGTGGTGATCGTTACTATTAATTATCGTTTGGGTATATTTGGGTTTCTGTACGGAAACACACCGGACTGTCCAGGAAATCAAGGCCTATGGGATCAGGCGATGGCAATCCAGTGGGTAAAGGACAATATTAAAGCGTTTGGGGGTAATCCCAATGATATAACACTATTTGGTGAGAGCGCCGGCAGTATATCCATCAGCAATCATATCGTGTCGAATGTAACTCGAAATATGTTTCAGAAGGCAATCATGCAGTCGGGTATGGCTGAGACTAATGGTTATTATAATACGGTTTGTTAAATAGGCTTTCCATTGATCCGATAGGTTCGGCATATATTAAGCTATTCTCGAGAGACACCGACTACTCGTATAAAATCGCCCGAAAATTTGCGTCCAATAAGAAACTGTTCCGAAGGAGTGGTCCGTGTGTTGGAGACAACGATTGGATTGAATGCCTGCGAACCAAAAGAGCGCACGAATTACTGAACGCACAGTTGGTGTCCATCCTCCACAACCCACTGAAGCCGTGGTACACCGTTTGGATCCAACAGTTTTGCCCCGTTTTCGGCGATGAGTTCGTCCCCATTTCGGTCAACAAAGCCGTCAAAGAGGGGAACTTCAGGAAAGACGTGCGCGTCCTCATGGGTCACGTGGAGATGGAGGGCCTGCTGTTCGCGTCGGCCTTTGATTTAGTGGTCGGTATGTCGGGCCGATACCTGCCGTTCGTGCCCATCGCGCCCGTCATCTCCAGGGATATCGTGCGGAACGACATTCGCAAGTATTTCTTCGACAACGACACCATTGGTGTGGAGATCGCACACGAGTTCACCAAATCCTTCGACACAAACCCGCGACTACTGGACGGCAATGGCCTGCGGAGGGCAGCCATACATGCGTTCGGCGACTACTTCCTCACGTGTCCCACAATCCTGTTTGGCGGACA